GTCACATATTTCAAACAGTAGTTGAAGATCTAAATAGATGGAAATGTTTTACTTGGTATACATACAAAATCCAATGGGTAGCGTATTACCCAGAATAGGATATCCAGCAGACCTCCATCCCCTTCTTTAACCAGGCTGGATGAACATGAGTTTACGCTGTTTGAAAGGACAGCATGTACTAACGTAAAAATCATTTCTCATCATATGCCAGCACTCGACGTTCCCCTAAAGCAAAGATGACTAAAGCTGATCCAATCTCATCCCTCTGACCACATTAAGTCCCAAACTCAAATCTCTCTTCCCTGTAGATCTAACTACTCCTGGCCATGTCCAACGCATGTCCCTGATGCACCCCATCCCCTCATCTCCTCCTCAAAGGATCATTAATTGAGATTGGACAAGCACATCCTGAAGGCGACTTGGGGAAATCAAGACGAATCCCCCCCCCCCCCAAAGTGCTTAGCCTGAGCAAGGAGGGGAGTTAGTCCCTGAGACAGCCCAACACATGCAGCAGTGCCTACCAATTCAAGCTAAATCCAGGCCTTGGGGACACTGCTGCCAGGTGTGAGGAGGAAAACAAACACAATGAAGAAATAGCTCCTGGAGGACCAAGCTTTGAGCTGGGTCTTAGAGAATAAGATTTTGGCATGAGAGAGTTGGAACATGGAGTGGGCCAAGGGCTGGTCCAGGGAACAGATAGCCCCTCAGTTTGACTGGATAGTAATGTGCACACAGCCAGGCAGGCTGGATATGCAGAGGCAAGAAGGAGAAGTACCAAGAGCTAACACTCACTGAATGCTTGTTGTGTGCCATGAATAGCTTCATGTATTTTTAAATAGTTTTAACTCACTTAATCTACACCACAACTCTTTGAGGTAAGGACTCCAGCGATCCCAGGCTTATCACTGAGGAGACCAAGACCTAGCAAGCAAGGAACTTGACCACAAATCATAAAGCTGGTAAGGAAGAGTTAGGATGTGCAATCTGCACTTTTCACCACTCAAACAGACTGCCTCTTGGGACAGCTTGGGGGTGAAGGGGTACAGGCACCAGGGCGTTACAAGGATGAAATGAGACAGCACTTGCAAGTAGCATGCAGCCTATGACTCCAAGATCACAAATGCTGGCTCCAGGGGCCATTAATGTGTACAATGAACCTGCTAGCAGCTGAAGCAGGAGACAGATCGGGACTGAAAATGGGACCCTGGGTGAGAGGAACAGTATGAAGAGCAGTGGGCAGGGCAAACACCCACCTTTAAGGGTGTGCAGGGAGAGGACCAAGAAAGCATCATGACCCAAAGGCTGAAGGAAGAGGGAATTTCAAGAAGGATGGAATGAAAGGTAGGGGAGCAGCTGCAGAGGGACCCAGAACAACCATTCTGGATTAAGGACAGGCCCCCTGGAATTCAAGACTTAAAAGTTTTTGAGATCTGTGAGAACGACAGAGAAGGGTTGTAGAGAGAGCAGCCAGAGGGTGGGAGTGAGGGACAGAGCAAATGAGACAGTGGAAGAGGTGAACGTTCACAGCCCTGCAAGAGGCTGCCGGGCAGGGAGAGGGGAGACAGACATCCAGATTCAGGGGTACCATGTACAGACAAGTGAAAGCTGCCTGCTGCATCACAGGCCCACAGAAGGGCTGTTCCCCACCCCCCTTCTGTCCTTCCTCTACTAAATTGAGATGAATGCTTTTCTGGGGTTGGTGAGGAGGCTGAGGACAAACAGCATGGAGGATATTCAGGGGGCAGGACCCTGGCAGCGGTGGGAGGGCGTGGCAGCAGGCGCTGAGGGAGGGCTTCCTGTGTGCCAAGCATTTTACATGCACCATCTCCCTTGATCCTCACGCAGACTCCATGAGACAGGCACTGTTGCTACACCGCAGGGGAGGAGCCTGTGCGCAGAGGGGTCAAGCACTTGTCTAATCAGAACCCAAGTCCTAAGTCCTGGCACCAGAGTCCAGGCTCCCGCCCAAAGTGAAGGTCCAAGAAAAAGAAACAGAAGAGAGAGATCCAGTTGCTTTTTCTGAACTGGAAAGAGAGGAGGAGACATGGGGTGGGGGAGGGGGGGGCAGGACATTTTGAGCAAGAAGGAAGAGATGCTGACAGCTCAAGTCAGAGCAGGTCCTGTTTTGAGAGAGAAAGAGGAGAAAAGCCAGGGTGGGTGTTTGGGGTACTTTTGTTGGGACAAAGTGGCAAAGTGGCAATGAGGAAAGAAAAGACTGCAGAGGGTGGCGTGCCTGTGTTTCTGGGCTCTTCACTAAACCTCAAGGTCTAGAGAGGATTTTTTACTTCCCTGCAAGTATCTACCGTGATGCTAACTAAAATCATCCTGTAACTGTAACATCCTAAGGGGCAGAAATTCTTTGATACTGACTTTCTCTAACCACCCTCAGAGCTGATGTTGCGATCGCAAACAGAAGAAAGCTCACAGAAGGAAAGCGACTCTTACACCAAAGAGAGATATTAAATATTTAGTTTTTATATATTCTCATGCAGTTTTGTTAACATAGCCAAGTCTTTCCACAGTGCTCGTTCATCGTGGAATACATAAATTGCACAGAGATTGTTGGCGTGGAAGGATAGATCTGAAAACACGGCCACTTCCTTTTCTTCCATGTGGTATGCAAACCTCTTCTGCAGAAGGCAGACAAACTCCCGAGTAGTCATCATTTTATAAATCATTCGAAATGGATTCTTTAAAACCCCATCTGTTGTTCTGTTTAAGTTTCCTGTGAAAATAGGACTTCAGCTCAGATATTCTGGAGGTAAATACCAACCTGAACTCAAACGTATTAAATATTAAGAGATGTAGAGAACTCTAGGGCAGGAGGTACCTTTGAGATCACCTATTTCAACTGCCTTACTTTCCATCTGAGGCAAACAGAACCCAGAGGGGTTCAGTGACTTGCCCCAAGTGGCACAGCCGTGAAAACCCAAATCTGGGCCAGAACCAGCATGTTCCGACTCTCAGGCTAGTGCTCTTCCACCGCTTGTTCCTTTCTCTCGCCTTCTTTTTAAACTTGAGGGGTTGGAAAAAGGCGTACATTTAACTACAGTTTAAATTATTCTTCTTCACTGGCTACATCTAACCATCAAAACGAAATACCTCCACAGATCCAGCTTCAGATGATATAGGCAATTCCAAAGCCTTCCAAATAGCTTCAACAAACTGTTTTGAAAAACTTACCAATAAAGTGAACTCAGTAACAGATCATGGACCAAAAAATTCAATATTTATGTTTGAAAAAAATATTTTTGGAGTTTCATTGATATGGAAATGTAATTTAACAGCAGTGACTTTTTTTTTTTTTTCCTTTTACTTGCAAGCACGAAGAGCATGAGATTATTCTAAACTGCTCAGGAGCAGCAATGATTATTTTAAGCTCATGATTCAACCAGTACATTAATTAAAAACTCCACCAACCCAAATTGACAGATCCTGATATCAATGGGACCAGAAGAATTAAAATAATAGTTGTCACATAAAAATAGATTAAAGTGGGGGAACAGCAGCAGATGTCAGAAGGACAGGCAAGCCTTGTGGGAACCGAGATGCATCATCTAATGGGCAGCGTTTGTGGATTCTTAAAAAAAAAAAAAAAAAAAAAAACGAAGACCCTGGAAATACAGCTACAGTCAAGACATGCTTCCTCGCAAATACCGAATCTTATTTCTGGAAGCTAGGTGAGAAGACTTGGCCAATAACTCCATGCTGGGGAGTAGCTCTGTAAGCAGGGAGCAGAGACTAGCAAGGCTCCTGGGCCGGGGAGGGGCCAGGGGCCGAGCAGAGGAGGGAGAGGGGGATAGGGACGTGGAGGGAGGGTGTCAGCCTGGTCCCCCGTCCGCCGGGGGACCAATGTCCAGGGCGCCCCTTCCCCCCCCCCCCGCGCCCGCCCTCCGACACCTGCCCGCGCCCCGCGCCGCCGGCTCCCGAGACCCCTCCGGGGGTCGCTGACTCAGGCCCCCAGGTCGGCACCAATTCCTACTCTTGCACTTCCATCGCCCGGCACAGGCACACCGCAGCCACCGCGGGCGGGAACCCTCCTTTGCTGACATCTGTCAAGCCCCGCGCTGGGGCCGGGCTGGCTGCGCCCTCCGCGGGGCTCCGGGGCTCCAGGGCTCCGCGGGCGGGCGGCGGGCCCACGCCTGGACGCCGGGCGGGACATCCCCGAGCCGTCGGGCACCTGCTCAGAGCCCCACGGAGGATGCTCCCGGGGCCGCCGGGGACACGGGCGGCGCGGGCCGGACGAAAGTTCGCGGGCTGAGGTCGCCCCAGCCGGGGCCCCAGATTCCCGGGGGGGGGGGCGGGGGGGAGGGCAGCGCCCGGGCCCCGCGGCGGGACAGGGCCGAAGGGGCGAGCGGACTCGCGCTCCCGGAGCCCGACGGAGACGCCCTCCCGCCCCCTCCCAGCCCCGCAGGCTCTGGAAAGGGAAGCGCAGGAGGTGGCGAGGAAGGAGGGCAGGAGAGGCGCTGCTTGCCCAGCGCCCTTGGGGGTGCAGCCGTCAAGAACGGTCCACTCGGGGTCCCCCCCCGCCCCCCCACCCCAGCTCCCGGGGATACATCCTGAGACGCGCCCTGAGCCGGATCCTTGCTCCCCAAGGGCGGAGCTGCCCCTTTAAGAGGCAGCTGGCGGCTTCCTCCCGCCCCGGCAGGTAGCGATGCCCGCGGAGGGGAGGTGGGCGCTCCCGCGGACACTCTCCCGGTCCCTTTAAGGGCGCCTGCGGCACCTCTGCCCGCCCTACCCTGCAGCGCCGGCCCCCGCGGGAGAGGATGGGGGCGGCCGCGCGCGGCGCCTTTAAGGGGCGCAGCCTCCCCGCGGCCGGGTGGGGGCAGGGAGCGGGCACGGGCCCTTTAAGGCCGGCAGCGGGCACGTCGGGCAGGGCGCCCCGGCGGCCGGGCTGCGCCCCGGGGCGGTGGCGGGGGCGCCGCGCCTGCCCGGGTGCTAACGGCCCCCGACGGGGAGCGCGGGGCCGCGCCGCTGGCCGCCGCCAGCCCGACACTCACCGAGGCTCGCGGGAGCGCCCGCGTCCGCGCCCCCACTCGGATCCCGCGGCGGCGGCGGCGGTGAGTCCGGCGCGGGTAAACAGGCACCTCCGTCCCTGACCTACTTTCTGCCTTCCCTAAATGTCGCACCACTAACCTACTTTCCGACCAATCCGCTCCCCGCCGGCCCAGGCCCGGCCCCCCGCCCACCAATCGCGGCGCCCAACCCCCCTTCCCCGCCCACCAATGGAGGAGCCGCGGAGCCCGGATACCTGCCTCTCCCCGCCAGCCAATCCGGGCGCCCGAAGGCAGCCGGGCCCGGCGGCCGGCCCCGGCCAATCGGCGCGCGGCTGCGCGGCCCGCCGGCCAATGGCGTGGCAGCCGGGCAGCCCGCCGGCCAATGGCGTGGCAGCCGGAGAGCCCGCCGGCCAATGGCGTGGCGGCGGGGGGCCGGGCTACCTGCTGCTTTCCCGCCACCAATCACGGGGCGCCCAGGAGCGCACGCCCCGACCAGCGCACCAATCGGCGCGCCTCCCCCGGATTTCCTCGCCCCGGCCGCGTCCCTGCCCCTTAGGGCTCGGGCTCCGGCTCGGGCTCGGGCTCGGGCTCGGGCTCGGGCGGCCGCTGCGGGCGCGGACGCTGCGCTCCTCGCGGGCGCCTGGGCTGCCCCTCTCCGCCCGGGGCCCTGGCCCGCGCGCTCTGCCCCTCCTCCTCCCTCTCCTGCCCTCGGGCACCCTGACAACAACCAAAAAAAAAGAAAGAAAGAAAAAAACCCAGCAGCGTCTCCTCGCTCGCCTCCCTCCGACTCCCTCTAGGAAACCAGTCTTGGGAACTGGAGCGCCGGGCCCCGAGCAGCCGGGCTTGCCAGCGTCCAGGGGGAGAGCGGCCTCGGGGTCTGCAGAGGCGCCCCCCGGCCCCGCGCCCCCCCGCAGCTGCTGCTCCACCCGCCGCGCGGCGGACCCGGCCCCCGCGCCCGCGACCCTGCGGCCGAAGGCTGGCCCGGGAGCAGACGGAAGGGAACGGCTGCCAACAAAATGAACGGTCTCGTCGCAAGGACCGTCGCGGGTGCTGAGAAGACGCGAGCCGTGGTTCTGCACCTAAGCACTTAGCAGAGGGCCTCCGGCCGGGCGTCTCCACCCTCCAGATGTTAAGCCCCCGCACGGGACCGCGACGTTCTCCTCCGCCTCCCTCTCACTCCCCCCGCGCCCCTCGGGCGCCCCGGGGGATGGGATGGACGGGGGTGGGGGGGGTGCGGGGGCAGGGGCCTGGCACCCAACCAAGTGCTTGATGCAAGAACCAGTGGGGGCAAACCACTGCTCTCAGCTCCATGACCCAGAGCAGCCCCTCTGACGCTGGAATTGTAGCCTCTTTCCTTGAACACCAGACACTGCCTTTCAGTTGTGAAGATCCTTGCTGTCCCCAGCTCGCTGCCAGGCACGGAGTGGTTGCCCAGTACGTGCCTGCGGCCGGTATATTGACTGTTGTCAAGGTCACCCGACTTCTCTGGTAGCTCACTATTTTTCCTAAATTTATATGCAGCTGGGATCTGGTTGCTGTTTACTTCGTCCCCGCCCTGATCTCCTAAGGAAACCACTCTACCTAAGTGGCATTTCTAGCAATGCACTTAACAAGATATTCGCGGACAAGATGAAGAAATACAGGCCCGGGTTCTAGTATATAGTTGATTGTAGTATATATACTAGCCCGGGTCTAGTATATTAATTGGATGAATGAGTGGTTAAGTAGGTTAAGTAACCATAACCTACAGACGCTGACTAATGAATCCACGTGCTAAATGCTTTCCCTGCACCTTCTCCCTTGCCCCTCACAACCCCACGTTACAGATGAGGAAACTGAAGCTCAAAGTGTTAACCAGCTAGTCCAATATCACACAGTAGGTGGCAGAACCAGAATTCAAACCCAAGTTTATTTGACTTCAAAACCTTCATACCATACCAGTTCCCATCAAGAATGACAGACGGACTGGGTGACGGGCACTGAGGGGGGCACTTGATGGGATGAGCACTGGGTGTTATTCTATATGTTGGCAAATTGAACACCAATAAAAAATAAATTATTAAAAAAAAAAAAGAATGACAGACGGCTGTCTGCAGGGCCTAGGCTTCAGGACTTTTATCGGTGCTCCGAATGAAAACCCAGAGGATTTGCCTCACATTTCTAGATGACACAAAACTAGGAAGGGAAGAGGTGTCGTTGCATAGCATCAGCCAAATGCAATCTGGGAGCAATGAGCTAGCTCTCCCAGGGATAAATGTGGAGGGGGGAGTCCCACCCTGGGAAACTAAATGCAGAAAAGCAGAGGTATCTAAACAGATGCTTATAAGAGCAAACCTAATGGGTCTTAGGGGGCAGACAATGCAATCTGAGTCCTCAGTATGGCTGCCCAGATAAATGGATGCTTGTCTTAGGCTGCGTCGATAAAAGTCTGACATGTGAAAGCAAGTTGGGTGTTACAGTACCACCCAGTGTTGGTCATCACACACATATTGTCTCCAGTTAAGGTCTGGCAAAAGAAAAGTAAAAACAGGCACAAGGAGAGAGACCGGGAAGTCAAGAGGCTGGGAATATGTCATATGAGGAAAGATTAAAGGAAGCAGAAGACTTTTGCCCCAGGAAGTATAAGATAACTGTCTTCATACATGTGAAGGGCTCTGAAAGAAGAGAATTAGGCTCATTCTTCAGGCCCTAAAGGGTGGAAGGGGGACCTGTAGTAGAACCTCTAGAATGAAACAATATGAAGAGTTTTCTAACTACTAGAACCTCCTCTGCCTTGATAAGTTGAATCTCCTGTACAGAAAGTGTCTACATAAGAATTGGATGACCATGTGGTGGGACGGGGCCTGGAACAGGTGTCCTTCTAGGGCTCTGCCTCTCTGAGATGATATGGTTCTACCTTCATACCTTGGTCCTCCTCTTTTAAAGTTTATCACCCTGACTTTTCCTACCCTCAGTGGCCCAGCTACTGTTTCTCCTCAAGTGACCCTGTTCTCCCATAAGTAGCTATAGTTGTGTTTATCTGTTTGTTTTCTGTTGGAGATCCCAAGCAACCTCCATCTTCCACTGGGACTCACTTTCCTTTTATTTTCTACCTACCAGAATACTGGCTTTTAATTTTCTGGGCACTGTTAAGGTCAAAGTATTGTCCTGAATCTAAAATTCAGTGGGCACGAATAAAATTATATAGATAAAAGGAAGGGGATAGGGAACATTTATTGAGCACCTACTGTGTACCATGTGCTTTAGATATACATTATCTAATATACTATCCTCATTAAGTCCAGCAGTTGATGCTTACTCTTCACACTTGGCTAACTGGATGACTTTTATCAAGCAACACTAGTTTCCTCATCTGTAATATGGGGTTAATCTAGTATCTACTTCACAAGATTGCTGTGAGAGTTAAATGAGACAATAGATAGAAAACCCTTAGCATAGTACCTGGCACACAGGAAAGATTCAATACACACTAGGTTAGCAATTTATGAAAGAGGTATTTACTGCACCCACTTTACAGATAAAACCAGTGAGGATAAAATAGTATAATCCACAGTAGTTCCCCAAACTCTGATCCAATGGTCAGATCCCTTAGAATTAACCAAGGAGGTCTTTTTTGTTTTGTTTTGTTTTGTTTTGTTTTAATACAGATTCTCAAGTCCTAATTTGGAAGATTCTGATTCAAAATCTTTGGTATCTGAGAGGCAGTCCTATTTGGGAACTGCTAGTCTAATGGAATAAATCCAGACCCCAAAGTCAAACAGACATGAAGTCAAATTTCAGGACTGGAGATTGAATGGAGGAGCCGGTAATAGGACCAGGAAGTTAGGTAGTTGTGTTCTCTTTGGAAGGAAGCTGAGAAGTCCTAAGATGAATGTGTTTTTCTGTAGAAAGCCAGGTAGGAATGTGTTGCTAAAAATAACATTAATAACAAAGAAATTTAAAAAAAATAACAATATTTACTACAGGTTTACAATGTGTCAATGCTATTCTAAGAGCTTTATATGCATCAACTCTTCAATTCTCTCAAACCCCTATAAGGTAGATTCTTTTCTTATTCCTATTTTACAGATGGGAAAACTGAAGCACAGAAAGGTCCTGAGATCCCAGGCTAATTAGGCAATCCGAACCCAGAGCCCACACTCTTAACTGCTTCAGCAAATCACCTCTTCCTTTAGACAATTCCTTTGGAAAAGGAAGAAACTTTGTATTTTAGAGACACAGATTTAGGAGTCATCAATTCAAAGGTGGTGAGTTGCTTGGGTTTCTTATAGAGAAAAGAATGCCCAGAACTATGCCTTAGGGATAAGGGTGTCACCGCACATTTAGGCAATGCAAGAAACGGAAGCCTCTTCAACAAACTCAAGCCCAGAGGGGGAGGTTCATTGGGAGGAGATAAGAATATTTCATGGTGTGAAGCACAGCTAGCCCTTAGAAAGGACCAGAACTGAGGTGCCGTTGGCATGAAGCAGTTCCCATCTCCTCCTTCATTCTCTTCACCTACCTTCTCCAGGGTCATGCATCCTCTGGACTTGTCTTCCCTCTGTCTGTGCACTTTATAATTCTCTTTCCTTATAACTCTTCACCCTCCACCCCATTTGTACATGGCCCTTCGTGAATGCTTTCAACGACTGGCTGAGAAAGGGAGAACAGGAGAGGCTCAGACAGGTCATTCTCAAAGTGGGGGCATGGACTGAGCAAGATTCCCCAAAAGGTGCCTACTGAAGTGAAAGAAGAATCAAAACAGGAGAGAATAGAGTAAGAAGAGCAAAAGAAGTGAGTCAACAGCTGGGTTTGGAAGACTTCAGAAGAAAGTCTCAGCAGACAAGTTTAGAAGATCAAGGAAACTTATGACTGGCACAAAGGTTTTGGGTAGAACACCTAAGAGGTCGACCGTAAGAAAGCTATTTTACGGGACACCTGGGTGGCTCAGCGATTGAGCATCTGCCTCTGGCTCAGGTCATGATCCGGGGGTCCTGGGATTGAGTCCCACATCGGGCTCCCTCCAGGGAGCCTGCTTCTCCCTCTGCCTGTGTCTCTGCCTCTCTGTGTCTCTCATGACTAAATAAATAAATAATCTTTTTAAAGAAGAAGAAGGAAAGAAAAGAAAGAAAGAAAGAAAGAAAGAA